GTCTTCCCCCCATTGACCCATTCTAGCTCCCCCCCACCCCCCATCCCCGGGCCTTCACCACACTACTGTCTGTGTCTGTGCGTTATGCATATACGCATACAAGGTCTTTGGCTGATCTCTTCCCACCCCCGCCTTCCCTCAGATTCCACAGTCTGATCCATGCTCCTATGTCTCTGGATCTATTTTGTTCATCAGTTTACTTTGTTCATTAGATTCCACATATGAGTGAGATCATGTGACACTTGTCTTTCTCTGACTGGCTTATTTTGTTTTCTAGCTGACCAACTTCTCATCTTTTGGTTCTCAGCTTAATGGAAGCAGCTAACACTTAACTCATATTATATGCCAGATACTATTCTAAAATGCTATGTACATATGCCAACTCATTTAGTTTTCACAGAAACTCTATGAGGAAGGTTTTATTAGTATCTACATTTTACAGATGAGGAAAATGATAGGTCAAATAAATTGCCCAAGATTACAAATATCTCTCAGAAGCCTTCCTTGCCCCCAAAATCTCTGTTTAGATGTTCCAGTTAGAAGCTTCCGGAGAATTCCCTACTTTGCACATTAAAGCACTTATCATATACCATTTTATTTTATAAAACATACTACATATTCATTGTAAAATTCCAAACAATACAGAACATAAAAATGGAAGTGCCCAGCCCTTCCCCATCACCCCCCTCCCCCCTCAGGAATCACTGTTCAGCATCACTGTTTTATCAATGCCTGTTTGTCTCCCCAACCAAACTGTAAATTCTATCTGAGCAGGGGCAATGCTGATATGAAAGGGTTATGAGCGGGTGGACGGAAGGACAGTTAATCCCCTGCCCCACGGTCCACTTCCTCTGGAAGTCCTTTCCATTTTAGGGACTCTCAGGCCCTCTGGACCTCGCCTTCCACCTAGCTTTCCGCCCTCCTCTGAAAGGATACGATGCTCTTGAACTGCAGATGTGGGAACTTTCTCTGCAGCTGGGCTGCTCTCCGCAGGGAGCTGGTTCCCACCACACTGCTCAGAGACAGGGTGGAAAGTGAGATGCAACCCCAGGCACTGTTCCTTTCCTCCTCCTTCCGTCCTCCAGCTTCTGTGCATATCCCACCAAGATGCCTAGCCAGGCCCCACTCACCTCTTCTCTGGCAAGGTCTCTAAGGTCTTCCCAACAAATTTTGGGTGGAAGACAACAGCATCATAGGGGTTCTCTCGCCTAGGGGGTGGAGGGAGGGTTGCAGAGTGAGGGGTCTCAGTTCAGGTCATATCCAGGTTTGCCTGAGAGCCAACTAACTGGCATTTTCTGAGTTTTTCCGCCATGCTTACTACTCCTCAGAGCAGGGGAGCCAGCCCTAGAGGCAGAGGGCCAAGGCCCAAAGCCAAGGTTAACTCACTGCCTGTCCTGCCCCCTCCCCAGCCCAGGCCCAGACTCAGAGGGCACTTACTTGCAGACAGCTCCAATGGTGAAGCCTGGAGGAAGCACAGTGGGCAGGTCCTTCAGGGAGTGAACGACCAGGTCCACTCTAGAGAGATGGGATGGGGGCAGAAGGGTCCAGGCAGCAGCTTCCACCTCTGCTCCATCCATCCCGCCTCTACTTCAGTGGCCAAGCCAGGAGCAGTTCCAAAAGCAGGCCTGAGACCTCAAGACCCTGAGACCTTCTCCCTCTCTCCCCACTCCCTTCCCCTCCTCCCCGCTCCCACAGCAATCTTGCTGCTGTGTCTTGCTCAGAATCAGGACACTCTCCTTTTCTGATGCCTAAAAAACACACATGTGACTCCCCCTTGAGCCTATCCAGAGTCTCAGCCAGCAGCCTAGCTGATCCCCGGGTCTGCTGCACACAGAGGCTGGGGCCACACTCTCCTGTCTTTCACTTACTCGTTCTTCTCTAACGCGTGCTCCAGTTCCTTGGTGAACAGGCTCTTCTCTCCAATCTGCCACACAAGAGAGAGAGAATGAATCTCTCGGGAGAAGGAAAGAGGAGGGGACAAGGGTTGGGGTGGGTGGGCATTATTACCTTAGAGAGTGCAGTATCAAGAATCTTGTCCCCTGTGGTGGACATAGCAACTGAGGAGAGAGTCAACTGGTCACACATTGATCAGTATTCATTGTGCCCCTACTAAACTCTGCTAAGATTCAAGGTAGACAGAGGGGCACATAAGTCCCAGCTCCAACCCTCTGGGAATGTACAATCTCTCAGGAAGATCAACACCCTCATAAAAAGACCCAAGCCCTAGCTGGTTTGGCTCAGTGGATAGAGCATCGGTCTGGGGACTGACTGGTCCCAAGCTCGATTCCAGTCAAGGGCATGTACCTCGGTTGCAGGTTCCCCGGTCCTGGTTGGGGTGCATGCAGGAGGCAACCAATTGATGAGTCTCTCTCACATTGATATTTCTGTCTCTCCCTCTCCCTTGCACTCTCTCTGAAATCAATAGAAAAATACCCTTGGGTGAGGATTAACAAATATAAATAAATAAATAGGCTCAATGCAAAAGACATTAAATGCCAGGCTAGCCCCGGTAGAGGGGTGAGGAGTCTTCCAAACTGGGAGTAGCCAAGATTTCTTGGCAGCAACAGGACCAGGCTGTGGTCCCAGGCAAAGCTGGAAACACTGTGCTCTCCCCTCCAGAGCAGGTGAGGGCTTCCCCTTACTTCCATTACTGTCCGGAAAACTCACTGATTTCAAACTGCAGGCCTGGGTTTAAGGTTTTCAGCATTGCCACCACGCTGTCCGTCTGTATGCGCGCCAGCTGGGGGCAGAAATTGGCATTAGTCCTGTCCTTCCCTGGCCACTGCCCTGAACTCAGATGCTCATAGGGTCAAAATAATCCTGAAGGGATTGGAATTCAAAGAAGGTGTTAAATGCCCACCTTGGGAGGAGAGGGGTCTGGTTTGGGCGTCCTCTGCACCCCAACAACTTCCCCAGCCCAGGGACTCTCTCTCTACAGAATGCAATCTGCCATTGTGCATAAAATTCTAACACCCAGCTACCCCATTTCCTCCAGTCCTGAGTTGCTGGCCCCCCAACTTATAATATTGTGCACACAGACTCTACCCACAAACCTCCACCCAGTACCTGCACTCACCTGGCTCTTGCGGGTACCCACGCGAATCACTCTCATCTTTGGGCTGTTTTCTTCCTGCAAAAAAAAATTCCCAGGTCACAGTCCCTCTGTTCCTTGTGTTCCTCAACACCTTGTCCAAGAAACAGATCACTGGCTTGGAAGAAAGGAATCTCAGCCCCCGGCCAGCGGCCACCCAAGGCCGGTCCCTTTCCTGTCCTCGGTACCTTCTGCTCTCCTCACAGACCCAGAGAAGCAGAGACCAGAAGGAAACGACAGTAGGATCTGCTATTGCCGCACTAACCAGGACACTGAACGCACAAGCCCATCCTGGCCACGGCAGTGGAGTGCTGCACAGAGCCAGGTGGGCAAAGAGATAAGGGCCATCAACGTGGCCACAGAGAGGGTGGGAACTGCGGCAGGAGGGGCAGGGCAGCTGGGGCCACACAGGCTGAGTCACTGAGGACAAGTTCAAGCATCCACAGCAGAACAGGCATTAAGCGTCAGTGCCACCTAGATCCAAGAGCTATCCAACAGCTGCCAAACCATGAACCCCCTAATCTGATCGAATGATTACACAAGGGACTGAGGTCAACAGATCTGATGTACAGTCCTGCTCAGCCTCTTGGCTGGGTGACCTTGGGCACATCACCCCTTCAGTACTTTCTTGTTCGTCTATAAAACGAAGAGTTTTGGACCCAGGTGTCATTTGTCTTTGATGTTCTCTAAGACTAAGAGACATGCACCCGGAGTTCTGCCTGTGGTTTCACCAACAAGGAAATATTGGGACATCAAATCAAGAACTCAACACACTCTCCTTCCAGGACAAAGGTGTTCGGTGCCAGGCAAGCAGAACTGGGTTCTTCAGCCTGAGACCTTATTTCTTTCTAGACCTGACAGTTGCCACTGTAGATACTTCCAGCTTTCCCTGTTCTGGGATCTTTAGCCCAGGGAGCTGTTTCGCTAGGTGATACCTGAGGAGTAGGTGACAGCTAGTTGTTCTTGGACTGCAGTATATTCCATTCCTATCTCTTCTCTAAACAACAAACACTGGCCCGGCCGGCATGGCTCCGTGGTTGAAAATCGGACTATGAAGCAGGTCATGGTTCAATTCCCCATCAGGGCACATGCCTGGGGTTTCAGGCTTGATCCCCAATTGGGGTTGTGCAGGAGGCAACTGATCAATGAATCTCTCATCATTGATGGTCCTCTCTCTCCCTCTCTGAAATCAATAAAAAAACATTAAACAAACAAAAACCAACCCTGGGGGAGCCTGAGAAATTAGGCTAGGCTTGGAATGCTAAACATGGCCACTAATTCTGGGCCACAGGGAAACCACAGAAAGACAACTAAGGTCCCAGAACTGCCAGGTTCAGGCAATCCCTTAAGTTCATTGAGTCCGCACAACATAGTCAAGTTAAATGATTCCATCGAAAGTGGTTTATTTAGCATGTATATGCTAGAGCTACCGCTTTTAAACTTCACCGCCACATATCAGGTGGACAGGGCAGATGTCTTTGGGACCATGTTGTAACAGCAAAGCCAGGCTCCAAAGGGTGAAGTGACTTGTCCAGGGTCACACAGCTCCTAATGGGCAGAGGGCTGGAGCTGGAATCCAGACCTTTCTACTCCCAGTCCAGTGCTCAGGAATGTCTGCAGTGGCAAGGAATCCTCTACTCACTAGCAGGCTGGGCAGCGGCAGATAAGCAGCTGCCCATCTCTTTCTTATCTCAGGCTGGCAGCAGCCTCCAGCGGCTCTGCAGTTCGCATCTGCACCAGCCCAGAGCTCCCGCGGAGCAGCTGGGGACAGGGAGACACGAGGGCGAGGGCGCTCCCCTCCCGCCCCCAGGGTAGTGACCCAGGGGTGTGTTGCAGCTTTTTTAAAAAAATTGATCCCAGAGAGGAAGGGAGAGGAAGAGAGACAAACATCAATGATGAGAGAGAATCACTAATCGGCTGCCTCCTGCACAACCCACACTGGGGACTGAGCCCGCAACCCGGGCCTGTGCCCTGACCGCAAATGGAACCGTGACCTCCTGGTTCAGAGGTCCACGCTCAACCCCTGAGCCCCGCCGCCGGGCGCAGCTGGGGTTTGGAGAGAAGGCTGGGGCTGGGTGACTGGTGAGACGGAAAAAGGGAAGAAGGTGCTCTTCCTGGATGTGTGTGTGCTGTTCGGAGACTGGGGGCGTGCTCTCCCCTGTGGATGCACGTGGAACATTTCCCAAGATGGCGAGACCCCACCGCGGCCCGGCCCTTGGGAAGGGATCCCGGGGATCGGCCCGTCTTCTCGGTCTGGGCGTTACTGGAGCGCACGAGCTTCCTCGGTCTGGGCCACCTGAACCTAGACCCGCCGGTACCAGCCCTGGAGGACTCCCACCCAGACCCAGCAGGAGGGGACAACTCCTCCATTCTTAACCCCTTCCGCACCGCCCGCCCACTTCCTCTCCTTCCAAAGGGCGGCTCAGCGACTGGCCCTTTAACAGCTATGGGGCGGGGCCGGAAAGGGGGAAGACGGACAGTAGCTCCGACCAATAGACGACACAGAGGGTGGTAACCCGAAGCCAATCACTGCATCCCTAGTCTGGACACCGAAGTCCCGAGGGTCACGGGTTCAGGACTCACCGCCGGCGCGGCCGCGTGGCTGGGGGCAGACATGGCAGTGCCCGGTCAGCAGGGCCTGCGCAGGGCTCCGAACTCGGGACGCCGGCGGCACCGG